TGTATTCCACCTTAATGCTATATCCATGGCTCACGCTCATGTATTGCGTGAAGATTGAAAAGTTTTGAGAACATCAAAAGTATAAAACAATTGATTGGCTTGTCATCGGGGTTGTGCATGATTTAATTATTTTGTGTGACGAAGATAGATCATAGCCAGACTATATGAATTTGTAGGGATAGCTTTCTTTGGCCTTGTTATTTTGAGAAGACATGATTGATTTGTTAGTATGCTTGAAGTATTATTATTTTTATGTCAATATTAAAATTTTATTTTGAATCTTATGGATCTGAATATTCTTGCCACAATAAAGAAGATTACATTGATAAATATGTTAGGTAGCATTCCACATCAAAAATTCTGTTTTTATCGTTTACCTACTCGAGGACGAGCAGGAATTAAGCTTGGGGATGCTCTATACGTCTCCAACGCATCTAGTATAATTTTTATGTATTCATGCCATGTTTATAATATTTTTACATGATTTTGGTACGATTTGGTTAGAACTAACCCGAACTGACGTTGTTTTTAGCAGAACTACCATGGTGTTGTTTTTGTGCAAAAATAAAAGTTCTCAGAATGCGCTGAAAATCAACGGGGATATTTTTGGAAAATATAAAAAATACTGGAACGAAAAGCTATCGGAGGGGAGTCACGAGGGCCCCACGAGGGTGGAGGGCTCCTCCCCCTAGGGCGTGCCCCTGCCTCATGGACTCCCTGTGGGCCCTCCTGACGTGAAACCGACGCCAAACCCTCCTATAAATCCCCAAACTTCCAGAACAAAACCCAGATCAGGAGTTTCGCCGCCGCAAGCCTCTATAGCCACCAAAAACCAATCGGGGCCCTGTTTCGGCACCCTGCCGGAGGGGGGATCCATCACCAGTGGCCATCTTCATCTTCCCGGCGCTCTCCATGATGAGGAGGGAGTAGTTCACCCTTGGGGCTGAGGGTACGTACCCGTAGCTATGTGTTTGATCTCTCCCTCTCTCGTGTTCTTGATATGGCACAATCCTGGTGTATCGCGAGCTTTGCTATTATAGTGGGATATTATGATGTTTCTCCCCCTCTACCTTCTTGTAATGGATTGAGTTTTCCCTTTGAAGTTATCTTATCGGATTGAGTCTTTAAGGATTTGAGAACACTTGATGTATGTCTTGCGTGAGATACCCGTGGTGACAATGGGTTATTCTATTGATTCACTTGATGTATGTTTTGGTGATTAACTTGCGGGTTTCGTGACCTTGGGAATCAATGCATAGGGGTTGGCACACGTTTTTGTCTTGACTCTCCGGTAGAAACTTTCGGGCACTCTTTGAAGTTCTTTGTGTTGGTTGAATAGATGAATCTAAAATTTTGTGATGCATATCGTATAATGGAACCCGCGGATACTTGTGGTGACATTGGAGTATCTAGGTGATATTAGGGTTTTGGTTTATGTGTGTCTTAAGGTGTTATTTTACTATGAACTCTAGGGTTGTTTGTGACACTTATAGGAATAGCCCAATGGGTTGATCGGAAAGAATAACTTTGAGGTGGTTTCGTACCCTATGTAATCTCTTCGTTTGTTCTCCGCTATTAGTGACTTTGGAGTGACTCTTTGTTGCACGTTGAGGGATTGTTATATGATCCAATTATGTTATTATTGTTGAGATAACTTGCACTAGTGAAAGTATGAACCCTAGGCCTTGTTTCGAAGCAATGCAATACCGTTTTCGCTCACTTTTATCATTAGTTGCCTTGCTATTTTTATAATTTTAGATTACAAAAACCTATATTTATCATCCATATTGCACTTGTATCACCATCGCTTCACCGAACTAGTGCACATATACAATTTACCATTGTATTGGGTGTGTTGGGGACACAAGAGACTCTTTGTTATTTGGTTGCAGGGTTGTTTGAGAGAGACCATCTTCATCCTACGCCTCCCACGGATTGATAAACCTTAGCTCATCCACTTGAGGGAAATTTTCTACTGTCCTACAAACCTCTGCACTTGGAGGCCCAACAACGTCTACAAGAAGAAGGTTGTGTAGTAGACATCAAGCTCTTTTCTGGCGCGGTCGCAGGTCCATGAAATATTTGATATGATGCAAGTCAATGAAGATGGACGTGTGCAGCGACGACGGCGTGCGTACAAGGCTCGGGTGGAGTCTGGAGCATGTCGTGTCATGATCATGCAACCACATGGCGTCAAGGCAATGCATAGATGTGTGAGGCGGACACGACGTAGGGTGGAGCATGTTTGCAGTCGGATAATTTCGGCTGGGTCGGACTGGACTGTCTAACGGATCGACCGGGATGTCGGTCAAAGTAGAAGACGGCGATGATTTCGGCGACAACGACACAGGAGCGTGATGCTGATGGTGGCCGACTTTTGGGGCGTGGAAACACGTGGTGCAGGCCTGAGGGCTTGTGCGGCTTCGACAGACTATGGCGCGGGGTTGATTCAAGACGGTGCGCACAGGAGAGCTTGAAGTCGACAGGGCAAGGGAGGGTGGCACTTACAACCACCATGGAGTCATGTTGAAGGTGGAGTTGGAGTCTGATGGACGACTTCACTCTGTGCTGATGAAGGGGCTACGGCGTAAGAATTCGGAGAGTCGAAGCCTATTTTAGCGGGATAGCGAGAGACACGTGGATCGGACTGGGTACCAGTGGTCTGGTGGAGATGTGATACTCGGCATCGGCCGGTGATGATCGGTGGTTCTCTGCAGTGGGGGTTGAGGCAGTGTGGGCTAGCTACCCGGGAGACTCGACCAGGACAGCAGAGGCTCGACGCGATGATAGCGGCGAGGCATGCGGTAAGCACGGGACACAGCGACATGCCAAGGCGCTGATGATGGTCAGACATATGGTCAGACAAACTGTGCAGGGGGTGCTGAAGCAGTGTTGACGAGTACCGGATTCAAGTTGGTGACTGGGTCTATCGGTGCTGGTTGATGGACAGGAGTTGACCGTGGAGAATCTGAGAAAGTGGCAGAAAGTCTGGAATTATCAAAAGCTGAGAGAGTACATGGCCGTATATTCTGTGGTGTTCAGTGCACGTGGCAAAGTGCGGATGACAAGTACAGAAGAAGGCGGAGTGCTATAGCTGTGGGACATGTCAGAGACTATCTGGAAAGAAGGGTGAGACAACTGCGAATTTGACTCAGGGTGACACAGGGACGGTGAAATTCCTTCATTTTCAGACAAGCAGTCAAGAAAGAGCGGTTACGTTGAGTTCAGGTAACTCTTATATGTGGCATCCAATATGTGAGTTGTTCATTTTCATGCAGACAGTAGTCGGTGTGTGATGGCGTTGAACGGATTCTCCGGAAGTTGGAAGCACAAGGTAGAGTAATGAGGAACTTAATTTTGCTCGAGTGTTGATTGTGAAGAAGATAAGAAGGGACTACAGTTGCAGGTGGAGTCACATGGAGTCTGGGAGTAGTAACGATGCTCATGGCGTATCTCAAGTCCAATGTACATGGAGGTTCGACGCACGGACGAATTCAAGATGGTGGAGAATATTCGCCAAGGTGGAGTTTGTTAGAATTGTGTCGAATATTATTGTACAAGGTAGGTTACAGTTGGACTTGAATTTGGATTGTGTGTAGACAGGGTAGGAGTTGTGTCCTAATAGGACACCTGTATCCTGGTCCTCTCATATACATCGGAGGTATACACACGATGTAACCTATGCCAACATAATAGCACGGGCACGTGGGGGAGTCGGCGGCGTGTGCCGGCGCCCGGAAGGCTGGAGGTGCGGTATTGTAGCGGTGTCATGGGGAGGAGCGCCCGTAGTCATGCCCCGGGATGTAGCCATGATGGTGAACCTCGTTAACAAATCTCGGTGTCGTGCCTATGTGATTGCTTGGTTCTCAGTAGATCGATGGATTGTCTCGGATTTATTCTAACACCACTAAAGAAGACCAGTGTGTACAGCTAGCCAGAAGAAATGCGTGAGTGTGGAGCGGAGTTGTGACGCCAGCTCATGGAATAATTGAGCGATACCGTATTCTTATCCAGTGACACGAGCGGAGCCTTTTGGTTTGCAGTTGCAGTGCGTGAGCCGTCCAGCCGAAAGCCCGAGGGGCAATCATGGCAGAGAACAGGCAACCCATGACATGATCGTTACACACACGGATAAACCTGTTGGCTTCAAACATTCCTAGTGACAGTAATAACACAGAAATGCATACGATAGTTCCGCAATGTTTGGAAAGACGTTTTTGAACATCCATCCATGCTAAGTGCGATCTACCCCAAGTGACGCGAATGTCGTGCTTTTCAAGATTTACCCAAAGTTTTTTTTTTCTTTTTTCAAGAAGATTTCAGGAAGACGTCTCTGGTCAAGTTTCGACGGATAGGGACTTTTGTGGTTCCCTTGAGAGCATGGAAATGGTGATGACGACGGGGATCTAATACGAGGAGGAAAGACGTCGAGATCTACGCAGCAAAAGATGACAGCGACCACCAAGAACATTGTACATAATTGTCCAGTGCATTCCAGTTCCAGTTCCAACGGGGTTAGATTTGGACAGAGGCGAGGCCAAAACCAATGTGTAATTGCGGCCAATTGCGCAATTTATTCTTCATTAGGAGAGGAAAACATGTCGTCGTCAAGCTCGATACTGCTTGTGGCAAGAGAGAGTAAAAGCGGGGGAGCGAGAGAAGATGAAACACGTGAGCGGTGCGAGGATGAGGTCGGCAAGTTGGACTTTGGAGGTCCGGGATGAGATACAAAGATGAGCTGCGCACCGTGAATTGCCAGCCACCGCATTCCACCAAACAGCAAACGAAACGGGCCGGCAAAGTGGTGCCATTTGCTTCCCTCCTCGTCTCGCAGGGTATCCCCTCTCCCTCTATCCGTCCGCCCCTTTGCTGGCACCGGCACTACTGCTACGAGTGCTCTGTTTACCGCGGCCATCAGCCTCCGAGCCGCGCCGTAACTCCCGTCCCGAGTATCGCATCAGTAAACCACCGCCGGATCAAACCCTAGCGGCCCGCCGGCGATGTCGGCGTCTCCGCCGCCGCCCGAGGACGCCGTGCCTCTGGCGGGCGTCGGCGCCGTCGCCGTCGCCGGCAACGACAAGGTCCTCGCCGCGGCGCACCACATCGTCAAGTCGCTCGCCACCTCCAAGAACGCCGCCGACGACATGATCCGCATCCTCTCGGGCTTCGACTACCGCCTCTCCACCATCACCTCCGACCTCTTCCACTCGCCCTCGCCCTCCCACTCCCACTCCCCGACCCACGCCGCCTCCTCGGAGGCCGAGGGCCTCTCTCTGCTGGATTTCGACGACGCGGCGCAGCTCATCCACCTCTGGGACACCACCCCGGAGGCGCTCGTCTTCGAGGCCCCCGAGGACGACGCCACGCACTACCTCGCGGCGGTCGACGTCGCCGTCGACCACCTCGCCGCCGGGGGCCCCGCAGCCGCCTCGGGCCGCGCGGGCGTCGCCGTGCAGCTCGCCATGGCGCGCCTCGAGGACGAGCTCCGCCACCTCATGCTCCGCCACGCCGTGCCGCTCGACGCCAGCGGCCTCTACTGCTCGCTCCGCCGCCTCTCGCTCGAGTCCATGGACGACCTCGACACCTCCTCCGAGTTTGACCCCACCACCCCGCACAGCCAGGAGGGCGCGCCAGATACCGCCCGCAGCGCCAGTCTCGTGGGGAACCCCTTCGACGACCAGCTGTTCGACCTGGTGCGGCCTGACGCTGTTGATGAGCTGCGCGCCATTGCTGAGCGGATGGGGCGCGCTGGCTATGCAAGTGAACTCGTGCAGGTTTACTGCGGCATCCGCCGGGACCTGCTTGATGAGTGCCTCACAGTTCTGGGCGTCGAGCGGCTCAGCATCGACGAGGTTCAGCGTGTGGAGTGGAAACAGCTGAATGACAAGATGAAGAAGTGGGTGCATGGCGTCAAGACGGTTGTCCGTTCCCTGCTGACAGGCGAGTATCGGCTCTGCGACCAGGTGCTCGCAGTGTCTGATGAGCTGCGGAACGAGTGCTTTGTTGAATCCACCAAGGTTTGCATAATGCAGATTCTTAACTTTGGGGATGCTGTGGCTGTGTGCCCTCGTTCGCCGGAGAAAGTGTCCCGGATTCTTGATATGTATGAGGCACTTGCCGAGGTAATTCCTGAGCTCAAGGAACTCTACTATGGGACTCCTGGGGATGATGTGATCTGTGATTTGGAGGGTGTCCTTGGGAGGCTTGGGGATGCAGTCAAGGGTAACCTTCTTGAGTTTGGGAAGGTTCTACAGCAGGAGTCGTCACGCCGGCCTATGATGGCTGGTGAGATCCACCCAATCACACGTTATGTGATGAACTATCTTAGGTTGTTGGTCGTTTACAGTGATACGCTTGACAAACTCTTGGATGAGGATGCTGCCGGAGATGCTGATCATAATGCTTCAAATGGAGGTGCTGATGATGATGAGGAGTATCTGCAGAGCTTGACCCCACTTGGACATCGCTTGGTGAAGCTCATGTCTTACTTGGAGGCCAATTTGGAGGAAAAATCTAAACTGTACGAGGACGGTGCACTCCAGTGTATATTTTCCATGAATAATACACTTTATATTGTCCAAAAGGTGAAGGATTCTGAGCTTGGGAGGATTTTAGGGGATCATTGGACACGGGGGCGCCGTGGAAAGATTCGGCAAAATTCCAAGAGCTACCTTAGGATATCGTGGACAAAGGTTTTGTCCTATCTCAAGGATGATGGTCATGGCAGTGGGAGTGTAAGTCTTGGGAATTCAAGCTCGAGGGTCAAAGAGAAATTTAAGAACTTCAACTTTGCCTTTGATGAGATTTACAGGAGTCAAACGCTTTGGAAGGTACCGGATCCTCAACTCCGCGAAGAGCTCAAGATATCTATATCTGAAAATGTGATTCCAGCATATCGTGCTTTTCTGGGTAGATATGGTAGTCTAGTGGATAATGGAAGAAATTCTGGTAAATACATAAAGTACACCCCAGAGGACTTGGAAAATCAACTGTCTGATCTTTTCGAAGGGTCACTAGGGTCTGCCAACCATTCCAGAAGAAGGTTATAGTTCCTATGACAAAATTTGGTTACAGGTATATCTTTACAAGGGGTAGTATATTGCTGAACTGCTGGTTGCATGTATTGGATTGGTGCATGTTCCCTAGTTGGTATGGTGCTGTAATACCGCAGGAGTCCACAGGAGGATCCTTTGGTTCAGTCAGATTATGTGTAACAAGAAATAATGTACATGTATTGTTTTTCCAGTGTACTCATTTCTTTGCACACTACAATGTCCAAAATCTAGATTTGGCACCATGTAGAGGCATGCTTCTTGGAATATATTGAACATGTTATATGTGTTTCAGTTGGAATAACTTGCAGAAGATGTGGGAAAAGGGCATGTTTAGGCCGCAAACCATAAGTAACAGAGCTTGCCATTTGCATGCTTAGAGAAAATGAAGTGAAACAAACATGTCTTATGCAATCCGTGAAGCTACGGATCGTAAAACGGACCATAGTGCAAAATCCGACTGATCGTACTGTTGAAGAAAGTAAGTATCATTAATTTGATTGCTGCGCAAAAGTCTAGACACTTCCTTTTTTTATGCTCACATACAACTTATGTTACCTTAGAATGAATGTTTATGTTTTCTCTAGTAAGATATTTGTATGAACTAAACGCATTTATCGTCAGAGTCTGAAACAAAGGTTACTTAATCAGACTGTAGGGCATAGTGTCAAAAAAATAAATTCAGACTGTAGGGCAGTGGTACAAGGTAATAACGATCTTCAGGCAGTATACGTACTAATTTAGAGGTGTCATTCACACATCGGAATACTCTTGCTATTTTACTGACGAAAATGTAAGTGTTGATGAGTTATATTGGGCTATTTTCTTATTTAAAACGAACAATATTTCATTACTACTGTTAGGACTCTTTTCTTGGTGTTGGCAATTTCTTATACTCCCTCTGATCCATATTAATTGCCGCTGACTTAGTACAACTTTAGTACAAACTTGTACTAAGTCAGCAACAATTCAAACGGATAGGAGGGAGTAACTTAATTCTACCATTCTCTTCTGCCTTGGTAAATTCTATTTAATATATAATGTGCATCTATCATTCTTTAGGGTCTGAACCTTTCCATATCTATCATGGCAAGGTGTAACCCTCTGTAAAGTAATATAAGATCATTTACTTTAGTGATCTAAACGATCTTATAAAAGTTTACAGAGGGAGTATCCATCTTAGTAAACTGATTTGATCTTCCATAACAACTATTTATCATAGTTATACTTCTGAAGGCTTGCTTATGCTAACCTCAGCCAGATACAATTGGCAGTTTACAAAGTGGGTCATCGTGGTCTCATTATTTGGGTTCTTTGAGATACAGGGATAATAATAAGCACATCGATGGTAAATGGATGTGAAGAATTCAGGGTAGAGGTTAAGACATAGGGGTACTGCCCATATGGGAGCACACTAGGTTGTTGAAATTTTCAGTGGTTTCTCTAATGCTCGAAAAGCATCAAAAGCACACCTAGTACTCACTCTCAAACTTCAAAATTATGAAAATAACAGTTAGTGCTCACTGCATTTCTGTATGGCCTGTATTTTTGCAATCTTTTTTTAAAATATAGGTTTCTATATGTAATTAATGATTTTTCTATTGGGTTCAAGTCCTGGAAACAGCCTCTTACAGAAATGTAGGGAAAGGCTGTGTACTATAGACCCAAAGTGGTCGGACCCTTCCCTGGACCCTGCGCAAGCGGGAGCTACATGCACCAGGTTGCCCTTTTTTTTTCTATCTTTTACCCCCTTTTATCTCTCATCTCTCATTGTCATTTCTGGTTAACATGGTGAATATTCTCGCTCGTATTAATGGGCTTTATCAACCCTGTGACCCTTGCAATTCCGTCAGAGCAAGTACAATAATGGGCTTATAGCCCGCTTACATGGCACTTTTGTCTGTGTGAAGGAGAGAGACATGGAAAAATGATGGGAGTGGGCTCTCATGCAAGAGCCAAGCTATATGCGTACTCCTAGGCAAATGCAATAAATATGACAAAAGAGATAGAGAGAAGGTGAAAAAAAATACTCCCTCTGTTCCTAAATATAAGTCTTTTTAGACATTTCAAATGGACTATAACATATGGATGTATATAGACATATTTTAGAATATAGATTCACTCATTTTGCTCCATATGTAGTCACTTGTTATAATCTCTAAAAAGACTTATATTTGGGAATGGAGGGAATAGTACTCTTATAGCCAACCTTATAGCTAACCTTGTTGTATGAGTGACTATAAGTGATGACTATATATGACACGACAACATCATATAGCCAGCAGTTGGCTATACTACTAACCATGCTCTAATATGCCTTATAAAATGAAATGGAGGGGTTAGTTACTTATTATATGAAGTGAACTTAGTTTGTAACTTCATATTGGTGTAGCTTCGGAATGTGAGGCTTATAATGAAAGCAACAAGACATGTTTTTGCGAAAGAAAAATCAACAAATAGTTTGATAATACTTGCTGTTTCTTGCATTAAAGTCCACCAGATGAAGTGTTTTACTTGACTATTACTCCATTTTGGGTATCCCTTGTTTGATAAAGCTGGTGCAGCTTCATGAACTACCTGAGCATGGAGGGAGGAGGATGGTGCGGCTAGGTACTCAGCTTGGTTCACCTGATATAACAGTGGTATCGTTTTTCCTTTTATGTCATTCTACTGATGCTTCTTTGTAAGCCCTTCATGACCATTTGAAGTCATGGCTTGGTAGGTTTGCTTTCTGGAGTTATATAGAAATGAATATGGTGTAATTCACAATGAGCGGAGTCCTCACCTCTAAACTAAGAAACATTCTGAAGGATAGCGAACTATAATTATCGACCAATTGCAAAACTTAAACATATTTTCCAGCTTCTTCAAGGTATGAAACAGGAGAAGTGTTGTATCTGAGCTGAGAATTTTAACTGTACCGCTCCACAAGTATTCCCGGTGTTCCCGCTCTTGTCGCCGTGATTTTGCTATAGTCGTCACCCTTTAGGATGGGTCCTGTGGCCACTTAGGAAGCCATGTTCTTATGTTGTGCAGGCATGCTATTGCACAATTTGAATTGCTCGTTATGAAGAATTGGAGTAGAGGAATATGCATTCTGGGATTAGGCTATTTGCTCCGTTGGAAAATAAGGCCTGTCTCAGGTAAATTTTATCAATTTTCTGGTATTTTAGCATATGTCACAACTCTATTTCATAATCCATCCGTTCCAAAATATAATGCATACTAGAAATTTTCTCTTTTTTTAGTCGAACTTCATCAACGCTGTCCAAGTAACGCTTTCAGTACTAAATATATACCATATGAAAGTATATTCCACGACAAAGCTGATGGTATTTGTTAAGTATTAGTAGATATAGATATTTTTCTCTATAAACTTGGTCAGAGTTAGGGGTGCAGGAAGGCGTCCCGCAATATCCCGCGAAATAGCCAAGTTAGTATACAGTTAGTACTCCCTCCGTCCCAAAATAAGTGTCTTGAGCTTAGTACAAATTTGTACTAGAGCTAGTACAAAGTTAAGACACTTATTTTGGGACGGAGGGAGTATTAATTAAGGTGACCCACTTCAATCTGTTTAGAACTAACTTTTTTACCTTTGAATTGGAAGCGGGACGGGTTCGGGCTCCGCCCTGCACACCTAGTCCGAGTCTTTGAAGCTTCACTTTTGAGAAAATCAATGCGCATTATATTATGGAAACGAGGGAGTACTCTGTTTTGGGGTAACAGTCCAACAGATGACTAATAGAAGTGGGCAAATAGATGGTATCTTAGTAAGTTGGAACAAATATGACATTAGCAGTATGGAGCCAATATCCACTTTAATTTGTTTATGTTGAAACATGCAATTTGCAGTCTGCTTCGGTGCCGGCGCTATGGCACCCCTCTGTGGCCCATGTTTAGCCCTACAGCATCTGTAAGACTGAGAGTTTCATCGAGTGTTCATCTGACAGATTGAAAGCTACCTTGTTGAGATATCCTTTTTCTCTCCATTGGAAGTGCTTCTTATGTTATTTCTGTTCTTTTACTTTTGAGCCTCTGTATGTTTGAAGTGTATGTACATGCAAAATAAAAGAAAGTAAACAGAATTGATTAACTCCACAGTTTTTTTCAAATTGAGGATGGTTACCATTTGTGCATTTGGAGGCTTTATAGTAGTGAAATACTCCATCGTCACTCCGCTTTAAATTACCACGCCACTCTGCTTTAAGCTATTTTTAATTGCTTTGATTAGAGCAATGGAAGTACTGTATCTAGTTTGTGGTAATCCCATGAAGGGCCTCGGACAGCAATCAAGCAGATAGATTCCACTTTCTGTTGGTCCTTGTAAGGTAGGAGTACCCTTGGAAGAGAGTGAATGAAGATGTGGAATTCACATTCTGCATGGTTTAGTAATGCGTTTTAACGTGATGATCGACAATACTGATCCTAAATGGCAAGCTTGTTGTTGTTGTTGTTGTTGTTGTTGTTGTTGTATGTATGATCACTTCATCCATGCTTGCACTAGGGCTGTCCTCTCTGAACAGATTTAAGACTTTAATCAAATGGCAAACTCGTTGATGAATCCTTCCTTGTAATATTGCACCTTTACTACACTGGCAAGTGGCAACTTAGACAAAGAGGTTACTGGTGCAATGCTTGGTTGGCCAATCATCATGTGGCCAGGCCAGCATGGACCATAGTTCTGCTACCTTATTATTTCTCCATGCTGTGTCCACCAAATCTCTTTGGTAATATCTAGCTGGAGACTCGGAAATTTGTAGGGTAGCAGTTGTACCGGGGTGGTTATTGGCCTAAAGGCATGCATGTAATGCTGTAACCACCTAATGAGCCGGAATTGGTCTGGCTCCCCTCCTGTTTTAGAGTAATAATAACATAAAAGTTGTGCATCTGCATCTGGATCTGGTAAGCTGGGATTTTATATGTTTACTCAACGTCTTTTTTAAAGAAGGGCACTGGCATCTTGACTCTTGAGTGACCAAACTCACTATGTTGTCACT